CTGGGAAGACTGGGTTAGAAAATGTAATTTAATTCTAAGCTGGAAACTAGCAGATAAATACGCTAGTTTTATTTTTGATCCTCTTTCCAGACTGCAGGGATCAATTCCTAGAGTAATTAAAAAGGTAAATACTGTAAATAATGAATCTTTTCTCTATGATATATGGTCCTCGTAGTAAAGTATTGTGTTCATGAACAGTGGTGAACTGTGATGATCTGAAAATGGAGCTAGTGAAACTGCTTCTTGGAAGTTGCAGAGTAATATTAGATTTTGATGTAAAACAAAAACAATGTTTGTGGATGTAGTGAAAAGTGAACTTTAGTTTTGGACAATTTAAATTTGGACTTTGACAATTTTCCTGATACCTTCTGTAGCCATTCTGCAGAAATTAATTGGGGTGGCATACCTCAAATCATTAATGTTCTGGAGTGTCATCACTTTGGCTAGGTCTAGACTGCGGCGTTTTTGCGGAAAAAGCTACGCAAAATGCACAGCACATTTTGCGTAGTTTTTTCCGCTGGTTTTTTTTTTTTAGCCTCCTCTTTTGGCAGAGCCTTTTTTCCTCATGAAATGAGGAATACAGGGCTCCCCAAAAGCGTGTGTTTGCTCTTCCGCAAATAAAGTGGAAGAGCAAACACATTCCTTGGGATAACTCTGGTATCCCACAAAAACCCCGTAGTCTAGACCAAGGGGGTCATGGCCGTCTTCCTGAGAGGTTGGAGTGCTTTGATCCAGGCCAGCCAGCATTTTGTACACACGGTGGGGGGGAGGGGGGGGAGTGGCAGGGGAGCAGACCTGTGCTTTAAATTAAAGAGGTCGCAATGCTTTAAATTAAAGGGGTGGGGGTTTTTTTCCTCAACAAATATTTTCCTGGTGCCGCAGGGTCATGAATGAAAAAAGGTTAAGCACCACTGGTCTAGACTTAGCCTTTAAGTTGAACTTGTTGTCTGTGCAGAGCACTATCTGTGTTTTAATCCATATAAAGGTAGTACTAGAGAATTGATTATGGGCCGGGAGTAGCCTACTCACCAACCTGTAGAAGGTAGTGGATTCGTTTTATAGTGTTTATCTTGAGGATAGGTATTTGACTCTCTCGTATGTTGCACCAGCAGGTTTTGAAGATAATGATCATGATTCTGATCTAACTCCCTCTCGGATAAATCAGGAGTAACTTTGTTAAAGTCACTATGCCAACATAAGAAAATGGATGCAATATCACGATTTCAAAAAGTTATGGAAGGCAGAAAGATAAAGGGAGAGTAATGTATGATCATTCTGTTATTTATTGGTTGTTAACAAAAGCACGGGAATGGAATTACTATCATTTTGTTGTTCCTAGATAAGCAATTAAGAGGTTCAGTCTGAACAGTACTGCAACAAAGGACTTTTTTTATTGATGGGTGCAGGTGTTTTACAGAAGCACTTGAGAATTATTATTCCTGAATTAAATACTGGTGAGTTCTATAAATGAGTGGTTAACATAAAAAGCTACAATTAAGAGACAGTATTATGCTTTCAGCTTCTCTTCTTTGCCACTAAAAATTTAGGGACTGATTGTCCACTCACTTAAACCTGTTTTATATAAGCATGACTGTGTTATGTCTATTAGATTTGTCGCAGTTTTATCAGAGAAAGAGAAGTTGAGCCTATTCTGTTGTGAAAATCAAATTTTCATCCAAAGTGTAAATGTATGTTATAATTTGCATTATAAATCTGCTTTTCTACCCTTTGAAAAATAAATTGCCACCTGTGGCAGTGGTGGTACACTTTTATATGGTGGCCAAAGTTTTAAAATGGAAAATCAAAACCCTTGTACAATAAAAGCACTTGTCACATTGGCAGTGGGCAGAAGTACAGATGGTTTTGATATCTGCGGAAGGGGAGGTATTCTTGAAACCAGAAATGGATGCCTGCTTGTAATTTGTACCACTTCACCCGACTGCTTGCTGCCATTCCAGCCACGAGATCCTAATTCCTCCTTCATTGCAGCAGGCTTTCAAACTTCATTAGCAAACTTGAAGGCCAGATGCGTTTGTAATGTGCCCCAGTTGTACACCACGGATCTACACAATTATTTATGAGACAGCAATGGAACAGAAGGTATCCGGATTTTCACATTCTATTCTTGGTTCTGGTCTAGTTCAAACCAGCTCAGTCAAGCAGGTAAATTTGTCACATGCATTCTGAAAGCCTCTGTGGCAAACTTGTTAAAACTTCATCCTGTCATATTAGAAAACTGGGATCTATTAAGCAGGGGTGGCCTTGTGCAAGCGTTTTGTTACTTTGTCAAATGGATGAATAATACATTTTTGAAACTAGAATAGGGCTAAGAATGGTAAAAAGGACAGTAAGAGCTTGTCTACACAGTATGTTACTATGCAGAAAGCCAGGGTGTGAATGTACAGCACATGGCTTGTTGTGTAGAAATGTTCCCTGTGGATGCTGATTTAGTACAGTGAAAATTGCAGAGTGGGACTTGGCTTACACCAGAATTTTCACTGAACTGTAGGTTAACACATTGGCTTGCAGCACAGTAATGTGCCATATAGACAAGCTCTAATAAGGATAAATGAAAAGCACACAAAAATACCAATCAGTGGACAAGGAAACAATTGGAACTGAGTTCTCCTGTCTCAAACTAAGTATATATTGCCCTAATACACAGGGGATTTTGAAGGGAAAGTCTCTCCCTTGAAATCCAGATAGAGTTGGTTGTCATGGTAAATGTATCGTGGTAGGTGGGGGTCTGGCACAATTTTTTTTTCTTGAGTAAATAACAAGGGGCTGCCAGTGAGCATGCATTAGTATATCACAAATCTTGATACAGACTCTTCTCTTTGATCCCATGAAATTACAAACTAAATGGCTATGTCTAGACTGGGATGATTTTCCGCAAATGCTTTTAATGGAAAAGTTTTCAGTTAAAAGTTTTCAGGAAAAGAGCATCTAGATTGGCACGGACGCTTTTCCGCAAAAGCACTCCTGAGGTCTATTTCAACCCTATGATTCTAGGTGCTGACACAGCTATCTAATGATTTCTAGGCATAGATGCTAAGCTTTGAGAAAACAT